AAAAGAAAAAACAAGTCACAAAGTTGTACCCATTTTGTTGATACGGAGTGTCATCTATAAGCAACACCTTCATCGCAATTGGATCTTTACCCGGATCAACAGAGGTTCTATTCCAGATGCCCAAAGCAAACAACAAATGCGGGTTAACTCTGACAAAGGGGTCAACCCCGACCAAAACCATTTTTTCACGATAGGTCTTGTAGCTTGAGTTGTATACGTACATCTTATAATTTTTATGTCAAGTTTACAGAGCATCCAATGTGCACGATTGATGGGTAAAATTGGCAAAAACACATAATCAACTTCAAACCAAGGGCGATTGAATTCTAAACGTCTACCGCTAGCAATGTCAACAATATATTTATCCGTCATTATCACATTTGGATCTTTCTGAAACTGGAGAAATATTTTTTTTATATTAGCCTGGAACAAACAATCAGTTGTGATAGCACACAATCTTGCATCTTGACTTCTCAGTGCAAACTGTCGCAAATAATGAAAACAGACGTCCATATGCTGTAAAATGTGACAGAAAGTTAAAAAGTGGGGAAAGATTAACTTATGAATGTTGCAATTAGGCACACATTTAATGTGCCTCACACAGAAGACTGGTGACCTGTGAAAACCATAATATTGTAACCTCAGATTTGTGACCCATTTCAAACAATTGTGACATGTGTATAGAATATTGTGACCTAAGATCTGTAACCCAATTCGAAACATCTTTGACCTGTGTGCATAATATTGTGACCTGTGACACATTTAACGAACTTCAGTAATCTGTGACCTATGAGTGTGTGACTTGTGTATATAATAATGTGACTTTGCGATATGTGGCCAATTTCAAGGATCATACCATGCTACTCAATGAAGATTTTGAATCTATAAGTTGATGCCACCAGTTTTTCGATCTCACAGGAATTGAACTGAGTACAAAAGGTGGATGAATGACATCATCAGCATCGTTAAACTTCTTTCTAAAACGGGAAGATAGTAGCTAAATATAAATTAAAACCCCAGATTATCCAACTTTATAGATTAGAGCACAGGACATCAAATGTACATACTTGTTCCTTGGTTTGTAACCTCTGTTAAACCAGTTTTGTAATGCAACAACATCAACCTCATCCGCTTTCTTATCATGCTTGTCAAAAACAATATTATCATCGGAATGCTTAATTTGTTTTCCAGCACCGGTAACATACGAGGACTATAGTATCCGTGTGGATCTAGGGGCTCTTTTAATGTCGGTATGGAAAGAAGAGATCCCTGCATCCATATCGGAAAAAAATGAATGCATTGTTTGAATAAATATATTTGTGTAGACAATATGTCACGTGACCACATAGTTGTAACATGTAGATAAATATTTGTGACATATATCGTATACACAAACATCTAATAATATCACGTGTAAGGATGAAAGGTGATCTGTGCGTAGTGCCACATTTTTAAGTCAATATGTAAGGTGTTTGTGACCCATAAATGTATGCAACGTGATATGAAGTACTTGGTTCTCATTTATGGTTTTTGTCGCTACATCAACCTGCTCTTTAGTTTCACAGTCCTTCACCACACCAGCTATAATGACATCAACATCATTAGAAATGATTGGTGTTGAAGCAACACCCAAGTCGAAAGACGGGGTCGGAGGAAATGACGGATATTTAATTTCATCAGCTGGGTCCATCTTGCCCTTGCCTTTCCTATCAATATTTTGTTCAATGTCTATGACCTGTTGTAACATATATATTAATAGACAACTTAGGGTAATGACAACAAAAAAGAATTTCGATTATAGAATTAGGTACCTTCTCCTGTTGTGGTGCATCTCCAACACTGTGACCTTCACTCTTCTCAGTTGCTTTTGCTAAAATTGCATCCATCATTCTCGTTATTAAAGCAGTAATGGAATCGAACAAGAATGTCATGCTCGACCATATTTTCATCATGTCCAATCAAATTTCACCTTGGACACGGATAAGTTGATCAATCTGACTGTTCCTATCTTATTTTAAGTCTAATAGTTGTGACTTTAGATCCTTGAGCTGCACTGTTAACTCTTTATTATTACACTGGAGTTCGGTCGTTTGTCCACATAACTCTTCTCTCAACTTGTCAAACACCTGTAATTCAATAATTGCAAAATAGGTATGTCACATGGTCGTGATTTGTGACCAGTGCAAATGTATAAGACATATGTTTGTGACTTGTGACACAGTAATGTGAGATAAAAACATATTTCTTAGTAAACTACAGACATTAGTCCGTGACCTTCTTTGGAAAATCTGTGACCTGATCTGACAATATAACACATTTTTATGTGACCTGCGATTGTGACATAATATCCTAAATTGTGATTCCAGAAATAAATATACTAGATAACGTACAACTGGTTGTGGTTCATCATCTGCACGGGTAGCCTGTTACTAGGCTGAAGTATGGATGTCATGGCCCTCTGACTCTGTAGGATATATTTCTACATTGTATGCTCCTCAGTAGGTGGATGGAAATGGGAAGGTGTCTTTTTCCTTCTCGGTAGTGTATCAACAAAATTGTCGTCGTCGTCCTCTTCAACATCCCTCGAATGCCCTTTACATCCATCTGTTATCATTAACAACCGTGGTCTAGGTGAGTGAGATTGGATAGGGACACTCGTGCTTGCATCGCCCGTATCTCCAAATTACATTTTCCCTCACGCATGTGGTTGCAAAGGTTTCTTATACAAAATGCCTTTCATATATAGAGCTACCATCTCATCATCAGACGGAACAACGTAACGAACTTCAATCTGCAACGGTGATATAATTAACAATCATATCAGTTATCTAAGAACATATTGATTACCAAAGTTTTTGTGACGTAAGCATGTTAAGTATCATTATCGTGTGATGGAAACTTGATGAGATCACATGATGAATGTAGGATATATTTCATGGGTGTGATCTGTGAAACATGCAATGACCAATTCATGTGTTGCTAACGTTAAAATAACTATGATCTTTACACTATATATTATCTATTGTGACCATTAATATGTGACTACTGTAGCAATGAACAACAACTAAGAATCAAGAGTTTCACACTTACGTCAATGTAACACCCCGAACCGCATGGACGGAAACGTCACTCAACCATTGTACCTTAGACGTAAAGTCAGTTCAATATATTTTTAGTAGAAGGTATAAAGATTAAATTTTAGAATTTAATTAAAGAATTTTCTTTTTTTTTTATTTTAAACAATAATCCAATTCTAAAAGAAAACAATTTCAAAAATGTTTTTAGAATGGGTTCCATGCATGTAACGACTATTGACGTGAAATTTTGGCAAAACTTAAAAAGTAATGTTGCTCTTCCAGTTTTTTTTTTTTTTTAAATCTCAAACAGTAATTGTCAAAATAAATTTGTTTTCATAGCTATCGATCTTGAAACTTCATAAAATTTTAATGTAAGGTAGTAAACTCCTTATAATATGATATATTCAAAAACTAGCTTCCGTCGACATCATATGGGGTATTAAAATATTTTTCAAAACTCAGCAGCGACCCGGTTGAAAGGTAAACCGGCGCAGTTCACTTAAAATGGAATATAAAATTCCACCGATATCAAAAACACACGATTTAAAATTTATTCAGTAGATAATCCATGAGAATATCAAATCCAATTGGTTTCATCCAAAAATTCCAAGTAAGGAGTGAGTTATAAATTTTTGAAAACAAGGGTAGAAGCTGAAAAACAGAGACAGCACCTAGCACAGTTTACTTTATGTGACATATAACCTTTTACCGATATTGGATTGACATGATTCTAATTTTATTCAGTATCTAACTTATTAGGCTATCCAATCCAATTGATTTCGTATAAAAATACCAAGTAACGAAAGAGTTATGATTTTTTTAAAGATGAGGCAGAAACTGAAATTTCTGAAGAGACATCAAAACTTTAAGTCGTTAACTTTTTTAGTATACGGTGATTTGTAAATTTATTCCTATGACGCATATCTACTTTCAAACATAATTTATTCATAATAAGTGTTCGTAAAATAGATCCACACAATATTCATAGGAATCAAATTTAAAGAAAGTGTAAACATCTCAAAATCAACTAAAGATGTAAATCATCGGCTTCTCCATGACATGTTGCATCATCATTTACCATCATCTACGCCCCAAGGAAAATTCGTTCAACCTGTATGAAGGGAATTAACCCATGAGTTAGAAACTCAATAGATATTATCGGTGCAATTCGTTATCAAATTAGAAATTCCGAACTATAGATTCATACCGTCGCACGTAGATGGATTTTCGGCAAAATCCAATTACTATAGCATTATCATAACAAGTAGAGTCGAAAAATGATCATTCAAACTATTGTAGTGCCGAAGCACTGTACTCGAAGGTACCATTTCATTTAAACATTTATCGAAAAATCATATTTGAAAACGAATGAACACTTGCACCTCTATCTACCTTGAATTTTCTTGGACAAAAGAACAAAATGTATAGAAAGCCTTCATTCTTCTCACCCTTGTTATTCTTTAAGCTTAACTTGATATGAAATATGTTTTTTTGAGAGAAAATGAGATGAAGTTCGGATTTGAAGAGGAGTGTAGTGAAAAAGTGACATTCCACTTCTATAACCTTTCTTTTTAATGAAAAATTAAGTGGGGGAGTTGTATTATCATTAAATTTATTAAATTTAGTCTTTAACTAAGAATTTGAAAAGTCTCTAAACCATAAAAATAATTCATATGAAAATTTTATAAAAAAATCTATATGGTGATTCGAACCTGGGTTGTCTATATGAAATACCATGTAGATTATTCATTAAATCTTTGTAATCAATTTTACTTAAACTTAATCTCTTGAATTGTTTGGTTTTTAATTAACTTATGACTTGGGCTTTCGTAATCTTACATGAGTTGAGCTTCCATAGGTCGTTTCTAAAATGGGTTCGGCTCGTGGTGCTAGATCATCACAAAATAATAGCATAATTCCATTTTATTTTTCTCGGCTACTACAGTCAAGCTTGGAGAAGACCTCTTCATCCAATTTAACTGCAGAATGTTGTCTGTTCAACGCCCAGTTCACGATGCGACGGTGCCTATTCCCCACCCTATTGGTGATAGGTCCAGTAAGACTTGGAATTGATTCGTAAATCCTGACTAATGCAATCAAAAATCCTTTCAGCCTGTAGTGGAGATTCCTATGACTCAAACCCTCTCTTAGAGATTTTATAGACTTCTCAAACAACTTTTTACCCCAGGAAGACCGTTCCATTGCAGCAAAGTCTTCTACTAAGGTAAACAAGTAGTTTTCAACCACCTTCTTATATGACGTGGAGAACAAGAAAGACGTTATCAAGTATAAAATCCTGATACTTACAATATCATGATCGTCTGCATCTAACAAGTTCAAGAATACATCACGCACATCTTCATTTGTGACTAGTTTCAAATTCCGAAAGTACGTTCCCTTAATTTTGGAAGGAATATGCTCGAGATTTTTCCTGACATCCTTACATCTCAGACCCGTGACTACACAGAACTCATACAACGAAAGTCGAACATATTTGTTTGCAACCTTGAATCGCATCTCATTGAGATTCGATTGCTTCACCTCTCTCAGCAAAAAGTAGTGTATCAGTTGAGGCTGGACCACAATTTCCTGGCAATCCATGTAAAAGGAAAAAACAAGCGTCTGCCAGAATAACCTTTTGTTTATCTGTGAACTTTGATTTGAAGTTGGTCAACACATTCTTGGTCACATTGGTATAATTTTACCAGGAAACCATAGGTCTTGGGGATTATGTAATTCCATTCCTACAAGACATTATGAAAATTGAAAACATATGTCAAAATCCTTTATCATGCACACATGCAAATCGAGACATAAAATATATAATCACACAGGTCACAACCATTTCACACAACACACTGACTGAGTCACAAGTGTATTTGAAACATTGAAACACGCATGTTATCAGTATGATTTCAAAAATCACTCAAAACATGTACAACAACCATATTCAATAACATGGGCCAATTTACATGGTCACAAATCTGCATGTCACAAAAAGTGGTCACAACCATTTAGCACTTGACATCGTCGAGTTACAAATGTAATCGAAAAATTTCACTTCACACCGTTGAGTTAGACAATGATTACCAATAAACCACGTCAAAAGTTGAAAGTTCCCCCATCAATAAAGCACTACTCCGTTCAAAGTCACTCAGCGAGTTCAAAAATAAATTAGCCATATGCCCATTTAATTCAATAGACTACAGAGAATACTTCCATTGTTCGATTTTCGTCTTCGAGATTCAATCGAGGTTTTCGGGGTTCCATCACTATCACGTTTACCGACTTGTGGACTTCTGACATTCTGTTGATGGCTTCCAGAGGGACTGTCTATTTTCTATTGAGATTTTCGGTCACAACTCCGAGTTTTTGCCATTACCGGACCTTTGGAGTACTTTGTTCGACTTTGAGTCACAAATACGGAAGCGAGAGGATAAATGAAGACTGGTTTCAAATTTAGGGTACGTATCTTATATCACGGTTGATCGTGGAGTGCATTTGAGCGGTTTAGAAAGATTTCTTTTCCTTATTTAAAAATTTTCTCTCTCTACTATTAACGTAAAAAGTGGGAACGGTTAGAGATAATATATATATTAAAATGTTGATAAATAATTAATTATGACCTGATTTGTGAATTAAGGAACCTAATTACTTAATAATGAATTATGAACTTAAAATACCTTAGTGGCTATAATTTCCACAAATTCTAATCAGCATATTCTAACAGTTATTGTTCAATTTTCTTGTACATAGTTCCAACTTCACAATTTCAAGTTATTAAAATTACATTATTTGGTGGATTTGATGAGATAATACATCAGATTAGATTGACATGAATTGAACCCTCTAACGTCGTGGGATGCTATTCAGTTATGTGATCATTGTAAAATCAATGATTAATATGTAATATAATATGCAATACTACTAGGATTAAACAATAAAACAAACAAAATTTTGACCATTTTTTCTTAATATTGTTCACTATCCCAAACGACTCAAAAAACTCTCTCGACTTAAGTCCCCTTAATTATATTTAACTCCATTACTTCTAAAAATCTCTCAGTATTTAAGTCTCTGCTCATTTTTCTTTTCTTTGTTCACTTTCAAAGCTTTTCGGTTGAATGCTCTGGTAAGTTATCCAAGACAACTATAGCAACTGAAAATGGCATAGAGGGATACCTTTACCGGTGCCAAGTCCTACCATGAAGTCTTAGTTAGGTATCCTACTCGCTTTATGAGCAACCTTCAGAATTTTCATTTTATTATGGTACAAAGTTTATGTATGTATAGCTTAACTGCATTTTCTCCGTGTCTTTAATAGCATGTTTTCTACATATTGGACTTGACAGATCTATAAATAGTATTTTAACTTTTTTTCATTGTTAGTACTATCCAATGCCATCTAATCTATCCATCTACTCTCTTTATGAGCAACCTCCATACCTTCTATTTTGTTATGAGTACAAAGTTTATGTACGTATAGCTTAACTCCATTTTTTTGTCTTTAACAGTGTATTTTCTACATAACGAACTTGGTGGAGCTATAAATATTATGTTTACTTTTTTACCGTTAGTATCGTCCATTGCTATATATTGTGTCCATCTTTGTTACCATTTTGGCTATGTACGATTATTGTTGGATTTGTAGTAAGGTTTTATGTGATTGAAGGGAAGGTGTTAAACTTGCATGTGTTGTACACACAGGTTACCAAGAGGAGAGGTTATGCCAAGTTTGGTGAACAAATAATATTTTTTGTTCTTTAAAATTCAAAAATTCTTTTTCCATTTTTAATTTTTTTATTTTCCTCTTCAAAATTTTCTTGAAGAGGTACAGAAAAGAAATGAAGGGAAATCGGTTGCATTTTTGTGTTCTGTTTCGTCTTTCAGCAACACCATTCATAGTAGGCGAACCCGGCATAGTGTACTGTGGGACGATACCGCATTCCTCTAGGAATTTAGCAAACAGTCCTGGACGCTGTTCACCTGAACCGTCATATCTGCCATAGTATTCACCCCCACGGTCAGATCTGACGTTTTTAATCCTTTTGCCGAGTTGGTTCTCAACTTCAGCTTTATAGTTTTTGAACACATCCAGTGACTGTGATTTTTCATGAATGAGATATATGCATATCTTTAAAAGTCGTCTATGAACGTTATAAAATATTGTTGACCATTCCAAGAACCCGTAGGGAATGGTCCACAAATATCCGTATGTATAAGTTCTAAGACGTCCGAAGTCCTATTGGCTTGAAATCTCCTTTTATTGGTTTGTTTTCCCTTTATACAGTTGACACACAAATCATAATCTGTGAAGTCAAGAGGGTCGAGAATCCCGTCAGACACAAGTCTCTCAATTCTCCTTTTGGAGATGTGACCTAATCTCTTGTGCCACAACGAGGCAGAATTCTCGTCGTTTAATTTTCGCTTTACACCTCGAGTACTTACATGCAACGTTTCATTATAAGAAGCAATTGTATCAATTGAATAAAGATTATTGTAACCTGATAAAGAACCGGAACCAACCAATTTTGAATCATGAAACAAACTAAATTTTCCATTTCCAAAAGAACAAGTATAACCAAATTTGTCCAAAACAGAAATAGAAATCAAATTCCGTCTAAAAGCCAGTACAATAAATGTCTCAACAAGATCCAAATAAAATCCAGTCTTTAACAATAATCTAAATTTTCCTATTGCCTCTACTTCCATTCTATTGTCATCACCAGCATAGATGTATCTTTCACCATTACTTGGTTTTCGGCAACTCATGCAACCCTGCATAGACATACTGATGTGAGTTGTTGCACCAGAATCTATCCACCATGTATGTTTAGGTACCGAAGTTAAATTAACCTCAGAACAAAACAAATGAAGAAGAGTACCTTTCTTTACACGCCATGCGTGGTAATTGGTGCAATTCTTCTTCTTATGACCTGCAGCTCCACAGAAGAAACAACCGCCTTCAGTTTGTTCTTTATGTTGTTTCTTTTGCGGTGCCATACCTGCAGCTTCCTTATTAATCTTCCTTTTCTTGTTGCTTTTGTCCTTAGAGGTGGTGGCTAAATAAGCACTTTCTGTCTTTTCATGCTTCAGTCTTTCCTCTTCCTGGACACAGTGTGAGATGAGCTCATTAAGGGACCATGAGTCCTTTTGACAGTTATAGCTCACCTTGAATTGACTGAAATGTGCCGGAAGGGATATCAAAACCAAGTGCACTAACAAGTCTTCAGATAAATCCAACTTGAGTGCCTTCAGTTTTAAAGCAATATGAGACATTTCCATAATGTACTCCCGAATGTTTCCTTTCCCTTTATACCTCATTGAGACAAGATTTGCCAAAAGTGTACTTGTTTCAGCCTTTTCATTCTTGGCAAACCTCTTCTCAAGGTCCTCAAGGAAACCCTTAGCCGTAGTCACCTTATCGGACATAGTGCCCCGGAATGCTTCTGGAATAGCACGCTTCATGATCATTAAGCTTATGCGGTTCGATCGTTTCCACTTTTCCATCTCTCTCTTATCATCAGAGGTACTCTTATCAGTAAATGCAGCAGGTGGATCGACCCGTAAAGCAAGGTCTAGGTCCATGACTCTGAGAACAATCATAACGTTATCTTGCCATGCCCTGAAGTTTGTGCCATTTAACATTGGAATTGAATTGATGCTAGCAGAGATATTAGCAGCAGAACCTGAAACTGAACTAGAGAACATTTATTATGAATAGCTCACATGAATATCTTTAATATGCAAATAATAATAATAATCTCAAATAGTGGTAGTGCCCATCACACGATACCAAGCACAACATCAATATCCAGTCTTTGGACAGAGATATTGACTTGTAAGCGGTACTCTTGGTGTAATGATCAAACATTGACGATAAAACAACGTGTCAATCAATAAACCTTTCTTTGGACCGATTTATTGATCACACATTAAACCAAATAATCGTCACACGTTTATCACCACATGTGCACGTGTATTCGGCTAAATATTGACCTTCCTTTGGGCCGACCAATATTCCCATGAATAACACGTGCACAAACACTTTTTAACATTCTAAATTAGTCAATTTTCACAAGAGAGGTTGCTTTGGCAACATGTTGCTTCAATTAACTAACTTTCGAATATTATATCTCTTTAAAAGAGTCTTTAATACCAAAATTTGAGAAAGAGAATCACCAATTTTGCATATTTTGATTAGTTTTAAACTTTAGGGGCCTTAGGATTAATAATTCAAAACTTTAAGGGGACAAAATTAATTAATTTCAAACTTTAGGGGTCGAAATTAATAAACTTGAAACTTTATGGACCATAATTAATTAATTCAATACTTTAGAGGATCAATTAGAACAATTTTAAAACTTTAGGGGCCAAAATTGATCAATTCAAAACTTTAGGGATCAAATTTTAAAAATTTGAAACTTTAGGGGTCAATTTGAATTAATTATGAACTTAGGGGGCCAATTTGAATTAATAATTAAATTTTGAGGGCTTTAATTATAATTTCAGAACTTTAATGGCCCGAATTAATTAATTTTAAAACCTTAGGGACTGAATTATTAAATCCGAAACTTAAAGGCCCAAATCTCAATATAACT